CTGGGCCCCTTGATGATTTGGTTTTGACCTATGTACTAGGCCCGGTGAGAACCTAATTGATGTGTTCAATTTAGTTCTATATCGAAACAAATCAGAGATCGAGAAACAAATGTTGGACAATAAGTAAGACCATGTTCCATGTGTTTGTCCGGCTGATATCATGAGAGCAGAGGATTATATGATCACTTATCTTAAATGGCGTATCATCATCATCTCAGTTCTGAGAGAATTTGAAAGAGCTACGATTGCTAGTCGGATTTTGAAGTCATATTTGCAAATATAGTTATTAGACTTATCCAAGTAGGAGACTGTTGGATATAGTATCTAAGTCCATAACTTTATTTGGTATGTACTTGACCTGACCCGACATGGTCCATTTGGGTTGCATCGCATTGCAATACTTGGATAGACAAAATGAGAGAATAAGGTACTTATGATTATTAATATATTATAAGTTCTAATATATTAATAATAATATTATTTAATTAGTCTTGATCAAATATTAATTTAAGTATTAATTTGGTGATCAAGTTGAAACTAATTAAATATATGGGGTTGATTATGACAATCATCTAAACTTTTATAGTGGATTAAATGATCCATGGTTTGTGAGTTATGGATGTAACCACTTGGAGCTCCATGGATAGTCCATGGGAGTTACAAACCCATGGGTCATGAGAAATGAAGAGTCATGAGAATTAAGAGTTTTCATGTGAAAACCCTAATTGTGACAACACTATAAAAGGAACCCTTTGGCTAGCCAAATCGGACCTAGGGTTACTAGAGAGGACATAACCGATTTTTGAGTGTAAGAAGTATTCTCTTAAGTTATTCCAAGTTTTGTGGTGTTGTGTGAAGCATTTTAGGCACACCATTGGGGTGCTAGGCTCACAAACCCTTGAAGGAATCCAAGCAACAACAAGGTATATATTTCTACTAGTTTTTATGCTTCATTTATTCCCCATGCCATGCTAGTTAGGAAATAACCTTGAAAAAGATATTTGCATGTATATAGAGAAAACATAGATTCAAGGTTATTAGGGTTGCATGTACACTTAGAAAGTGTTAGAATGCTCAAAACCCATCAGGTTTGGTCCCAATTTGGAAAATTGGATCATAAGTGGACCTTGGAGTATCATTTGGTTTTAGGCCTTTTGGTTTGTGAGTTTGGGCCTCAGTCTTGGTTCAAACCAGGCCAGGGGTAAAATGGTTATTTTACCCTAAGTATGGATTATTGGATATAGATTGGAACCCAAGTGTTAATTGGGTGCTATTTTGTATTGTTAGCTCAGGGATTCGTCAGGACAACATCTAGGGATTTTAGTGACTTTCAGCACCGAGGTGAGTTTCCTCACGATGCATAACAGGTCGAAGGAACCAATGCGACCCATAATTTGATATGCTAGAATACTCATTGTCTGTGTGACACTAGTATGTGTATGTCCTTGTATACTTACTGGGCGAGTCCCGATGATTATCTTGTATGCTATTATTTGATATGATTTATATGTGGGCGGGGCCCGTTATGCGAGTTAGAATGGGGATCGTTATACTCATTGGGTGGGGCCCATTATGCGAGTTAGGGTGGGCCTATTACACTCATTGGGCGGGGCCCGTTATGCAAGTTAGGCCGAGGCCCGTTATACTGTTTGGGTGGGGCCCGTTATGTGTTTTATGTTTGGTATGTGGTATCTTGGGGAACTCACTAAGCTTTGTGCTTACGGTTTTTAATTTATATTTCAAGTACTTCCGATTCCAAATGGAAGAGCTCGGGATAACTGCATCACACCCACCACATGGTTTCCACCTTTGAGATATTACTCTCATTAATATGATGTTTAATGCATTTATTTTCCTTTGGGATGTATGTATAATGTTTTGGAATAATGTTTTTTTAAATTAAAAATGAAAATTTTGTATCATATTTTCGGGACGTGACAAATATGCTCAAATGTTATGCTATCAGATTTTACAGAACTTTATGCATGATCGAACCTTGGTCTAGTAAATTTATTTTATGGTTTGAGACACACTCAATAAAAAAGCTATACAATAGTTATATATGGTCAAAACTCTAATTACAAAACCATATGGTAGTTATATACTGTCAATACTCTAATTATAAAACTTAAATACAAACATACTAACATATTAAGATATAACACATACATTCACTACTGTTAGGGAGGCACACTACCAATACTGTCTGGGAGGAACATTCATTCACTACTACCTAGGAAGCACCCTCACTTCACATACTTGGAAATCTTACAAGTATCTCCTAATATACGTCTAATAAAAACTTATATACTCATTACCCATACTAGGAGGTTTTATAGGTATCCCAAATTTGACGTCAGATAAATACTTATATACTAATCATACACTTTTTAGTGATAAAAAGTACATTAAATTTATATAAGTCAAAAAACTCTTATATACGATAAAACAAATACTTGTAGTATAAAAAGTACTTTCGATACAACACTACAAACCTGTGAACTCACCAAGATCATGTTGACGTTTTCAAAACTACATGTATTCATTGGAAACCAAGAGATGGAAGTTCGCATTCTGTGAAGTCAAGTCATGAAGTTGCAACCACCTACAGATAAGTGATGCCGCATTAGTTAGTAGTCTACAGTTTGAAACATCAGATCATATAACTCTGAATATTATTCTAATATCTTTTTCAGTAATAATATATTATTGCTTGATTTATATTTTGTACTATTCAATGTATGTTCAATAACTATGATCCATGACAAAGACGTTGCACAACCCGACGTTTTCATCGTCGGCCAGGGGTGTTATAGTATGTTACAATGTTGATATGTTGTAGTGATTGGTTGGGAGGGTAGATTTGTTATGATTACATGTTCTTGCTTCTTATTGTTATGTGTATCTGTCGACATGTTATGGTTAAGTTGAGGCGGTCCAGCTGTGTGTTGAAGGCCAAGAGGCTCGGGCGGTCCAATTCATTACTGTAGACCCATAGGAGCAGTCCAACTTGATGTTGTAGGCTCCAGTGGTGGTCCATCTTTGTGATGAAGGCCCAAAGTTATGGTTGGGTTGAGGCGGTCCAACTGAATGTTGAAGGCCAAGAGGCTCGGACGGTCCAACTTTGTGTTGAAGGACTAGATGTTGGTCCAACTTTTATGTTGTATATCTTGTGTGTATGCATTGTATGTGTATTGTTGTGTGAAGTATTTTGTGGAACTCACTAAACTTTGTGCTTATAGTTGTGGATTAATTAATTTGCAGGTATTTCATCGGTTCATGGAGATGCGAAGGTCGGACTATACACACACATCAACAATTTTTTGATTCGAGGTTCCGCATTATTTTTTTATAACTCTGATTTTAAATTATGGTTTATGAACAAATGGTTTAGACTTTGACGTAACTTTATGAAAATAAGTGTTTATTCTATTTTAAAAATGAAAAATACATTTTGGAAATTAGGAAGTTACACAATTGTTATTCCTATTTTGTTTAATTTGACTATTTTTTAACTTGTAAACCTATAGTGGAGTTGTATTATTTGGTTTAACCGATAACTAAACAAATAAACTAAAACCAAATAACTCAAAATTGATTAAACTGAATCTTATTTAGTTTAGTTATGGTTAATTCAGATGTATTAAAAAATCGATTTAACCGAAAACTAGTTTAACCGGCCGAGTAACACACCTACTACTAAGTACACCTTTATGAAGTTGTATATGTCCAAACCCCCTGCCCCATCTTCTTGTTGAAAGTGAGGTAGATGCAGAAGATGGAGGTCTCCAAGCATGAGGGGAAGTTATCTACTTACTCACACTATCCCTATTCATGATCTTTAATGTTTGGCTCACCAAAAAAAATTAATAAAAAGAATGAAAAAAATTCTGTGAGCTAGGCTGCCGCAACGAACCGCTTCAACAAAAGGATTGTGCTTTTTATTTCTTCATATTGTCAAGTGTGAAGTGTCCTCTTTATTGGATCGTGCCTTTTTATTTCTTTTGTCAAGTGTCCTCTTTAAATAGATAGATTAAACTATTTTGTATATTTAAATTTATATTAAACTAATTAATAAATAAATAGTTTTATTTTTGGTAAAAAAAAAAAATCAAATAAAACATACGGAAATATGTAATTTCTGTAAAATAAAACCAATATTTATATAATATCGGTGGAGTTGAGAGGTAATCAGAAACTAGCAAAGCGGTCCTTATCCTATAATCTCTAAGGTTGGCTCGGTTGCTTACACACATACCGCTGCAATTCATCCCACTTTTCATTCAAAAAAACATTATGCCTTCTTACACATACATCCCCTGATCCACATGTAGGGGGACGTATTGAAACGTGTTCAGCACGTGTTAAGACAAAGGTGCGCCGTATTTAGGGCAAACGTACGAGAATCTGTAATTTTGTCTTTTTCTTTTCTATGTGATATGAATGAAACTGCTTCCTTCTTCACTTCTTCACTTCTTCTCCTTCATTTCTCCTCTTCTCTTCTTTATTCCCTTCCTAATCTTCTTCAATACCTAATTCTAACTTCTCAAATCTCAATTCAACCCTTAATCACCCTGCGCAAGTGTTGCTTCCACCGTGGCTCTGCCATTTTCGACCATATCTCCAATACAGTGTTCATGTTATGCGTTCTCCTCCTCAGTTCCCACATAGGTATCTTTGTTTCTATTTCGAGATACAGTTTTTGCTCTTTAATTTCAACTCTATCGAATAATTATCATTCGCTCCGAAGCACTTTTGCATATGATGTTTATGAACGAATCTGTTAGTTTTAGGAATTCCTTATGATTCTATATATTTCTATACCTTTCATCTCCATGTTTGCTTATGTTTGTTATTGCTTTCTGAAATTTCGTACTCAAGCATATCATCTTTTTGTATCTTATAACACAGATTTTTCAATCACCTGAAAGGAATTCGTAGTCGTTGAACAAAATCATTAAAGGGATCGAGATTAGCAACACTATAAGGTATAATCCAATATGTCAGAAAGTGAGATACAAAACGCATATTTACCCGATGAGATTATAAAGGAAATCCTTTCTCGACTCCCTGTGAAATCCTTATTGCAATTCAGAAGCGTATCAAAACATTGGAAATGTGTAATCGCAAATACCGATTTTATCAAATCACACCTTAAACACGCATTATCTTCATCAACCCAACACCGAATCCTCATTCCATCTTCCCCTCTTCTGTCGTTAAGCTATAACTTATCACCAAACAACATCTACGAATCAACAGAAATTCATTGCCCTTTTTTGAACCCAAAAGCTCACACCAAGATTATGGGTTCATGTAATGGTTTGGTATGTTTAATGGATGACACAAGAGACATGATAATCTACAACCCATCAACCAGAAGACATTTCAAGCCCTTTCAATTAGCGCAACAAGCTCTTTATTTCTCAAACCGGGTTGAATTTGTATACGGATTCGGGTGTGGGTGTGGGTCGAACCCGAATGACATGAGAATGTTTAGATTCCCCCGATTTTCTCGTGACTTTAAATATAATAAATTTAAGGAACACGATAAGATTACTACTTCTAGTTCTTCCTATGATTTTATTGATACAGTTGGTACTTTTTTAAATGGTGTTCTTCATTGGTTAGCGCATCGAAGTGGCAATAATGATGATTATAGATTAATAGCTTCATTTAATGTATCCGAAGAGACATTTTTGGACATTTGTTTGCCGAATCAAGATTCAAGACTTCCGTGTTATGTTTTGGGTGTTTTACACGGATGTCTTTCTGGGCTTTGTAATGCTATTTGTTATACAGAAGTTGAGGTATGGTTGATGGAGGAATATGGGGTGGTTGACTCTTGGAAAATATTCGTTAAAATTCCACTTTATACTGGGATTGAGAACATTTCGTATATGAGGCATTTGAGGTCCTTAAATGATGATGAAATTCTTCTTGAGATTAATTTGCAATCGTTTGTGATTTATGATGCTAAGAAGAAGATGTTTAGGCATGTCACGAGTGCTAACGAATTGATATTGTTTGGGGATGCTGTGGTGTATGTGGAGACTTTGCTTTCACCTGAAGTCTTGTGTGTGATGCATTAGTTTTTAAAGAATATAATAATGTTTCATATAGGGTGCTATTAAATTTTTATCCATCTTTTTTTATGGGTCTTGATATTTATATGAAACCCACTTTATATTTTTTATTATAGAATTGTACTTTCATATATATTTCTCATGTGAGCATTGTATTTCCATATTGTATTTTGAAAAATCTATGAGTTATAATAAATGGCAACTGTTTCCTCTTGATTTGTTGAAATACTATAAAAATATCTCAACTTTTGATTTTAACAGAAAGGAAGATGTTCTTTCATTAGGTTATTCAAAAATGATAAAACATCGGAATTGGGATATATTGTTTTGAAAAAACTCCTCAAAGTTTATAACAATGAAATTGCTTTGTGTTTAAATAAATTCATTATGCTTCGTAGATTCCATTAAATATAATATTAAAATAAGAACAGGATATTAACGAAAATGACAGCTTTTAGTGATCATATATAATGTTTGACCATTCTTTTAAAAAATAACAAAAGTATCATGTTTAGAATTTTGACGGTACAATTGTTGAGTGTTAGACATTTTCATAATCTCCATTTAAAAAATTAATTCTATCCATATATTTTACAAGTGTTAACATTTTCATTTTATCCTATTTTTGAAATATTTCAAACGGTTGTATTTTCGAACTGTTTTATAAAAATCTCGAAAGTCTTATTTTTATTGTAGCTATTAATTGTTAGTTTTGTATACAAATGTTATATGGACATAATACATATACAATGGCATTTTGATGTTTTTACAAACAAAAAAAAAAAAAAAAAAAAAAAAAAAGATTTTGAGGACACTTTGAACAAGTTTGAAACTCTTTGTTTTTAATAGTTTGTATGTTTTTTTAGTTGTGTGGATATGTTAGATAGTGTTTGCTGATTCATAAAACTTTGTACATAGTGGTCTTGTTTTTTCATATATCATGAAAAAGAGTTTTGAAAATTTGCCATCATCGTTATATTGTTTCGAAACTCATATAGACAATCTTGGAACTTTATATTGTATATATTTTTTAAGCTTTGTAGTATTAATGTATTACTTTTGTGTATAAATGCTTAGTATGTCACCAAACTTGGAATATACTGGTCTTGAGATGTATTGAAAATCCAATTTGAATTTTTTGCCTTTATATTGAACAACTTTGAAACTCATTCATATAAATGATTTGAAACTTATACAAGGTTTAGATGTTGGTTTGAACTTCTTGTTTGTTGTTGATGTTATGTTCATAAATCTTTTTAGGTTGTTTGTGTTCAAATTGCCATTAAACCAAGAACGATAACACCCAGACAATTCTGAATTAAATGATGGTACATGTTTTACGATGGGTGATCATGGTTACACAAAAAGGGGGAAGATGAAACTTTCCTATAATTTGTCTATTCGTCTCCATCTGAGGCGAACACTCATAAAAGAAAGTCTTCATAATAAAACATTAGTTGACCTTTGAAGATTACCACAACCGGAAGTCCTCAAACGGGAAATAAAAAGGAATGAGTTGAAGTCGACATAGGGTTTCCTCAATGACCACATAGCTTGGTTAAGAAAGGGAGGCAAAAATAAAGTACTTAAAACCAGAGAAAATATACTTGGAGAAGACCCATTTGTTCTAAATATCCATAAATATGTTTTTTTACCTCAAGGTAAGGTACTATTGACTAAAGAAGTAAATATTCATTTCTAGTTTTCTTGGACAAATGAGATATTTTGGAAACTTTATGTTGTTTATAAATAAGTTTAGTAGCATGCCACAACATGATCTAAATAGTTTTATACAAGTTCATACAACTTATTTATTATTTTTTCTATAACGTGCACATTTTTCTTTAATGGCAAATAAGACCTGATAAGATGGTAAATAGGTTGCAAAGTTGTTATCATTTTAGGTTGTATTTGGCGCGCCACAACTAGCTGATAAGCTAGTTTATTTTTTGAGTTTTTTAAGTTGTCATGTTTGATAAACAAAAAATAACTTAAAAGTTAGCTTTATAAAAACATTTTCTAGATGCCCCTTTATATTATTTTATATCTTATAGCTATCAAATGTCATTTTTTTTTTATCAATTAACTTATAAACTAGCAAGCTAACTTTTCAGGTATGAACTAATATCTACTTTTTTTGATCTAATACCTCAAATATAGTCTAAATAAGTATTGACTAGGGAAAATGACTTGATAGAGTACGATACTTTTTGAAATGTACACATTTAGTCCTTATTTTTTTTAAAATAAACCTTTATAGTTTATTTTTTGTAACGATGCAATCCTTATGACCGACTATACCTGGTATACCGGTCATATACGAATTTTCTTTTAGGGAAAATGACTTGATAAGGTAAGATATTTTTTAAATTGTACACATTTAGTCCTTATTATTATTATTTTTTTGTAAAATAAACCCTTATACTTTATTAATATGTACACATTAGGTCATTTTCACTGGATTCTATAGGTTTTGCTGATGTAGAAGCACAAATGACACTAAATAGCAGTTAATTAGCTTAGTCACCGGAGGTGGGTGATCCTCCAGCAACAAGAAAATGGTGGCGACCCTTCTCTTTCTCGTCTCTTTTTCTTCCGGTCGAATAGCAACAGCCAAACACCCTTTACCTGTTGTGTTTCTCCGATCTGTCTCTCTTTGCCTCCATCTTTGAGATATGTTGCCAGAAAAAGAAGAAAGAATCGACGAGGGGGCTATCAAAGCAGCTCCTCGCCGTCAACTACCGTCTCTACTTCCTCTTGCCTCCCCCTTCGACCTAGTTGTTTTGACCATCATTCCTCCTTGCTACCAGTGATATATAGGAACACACAAAGGAGTCGCAGGAGATCAGTGTTCTCCCTCTTTTTCATAATGAATAAAAGTTTAAAAAATCTGGTTGTGGATATGTGGATGCCACCTAGGTATTTCATTTCAAAAAAATAAAAGAAAGGGAAAATGTCTTGATAGGTTAAGATACTTTTTGAAATGTACACATTTAGTCCTTTTTTTTTTTGTAAAATAAACACTTCCACATCAGCAAAACCTGTACAATCCAGTGAAAATAATCTAATATGTACATTTAATAAAATATAACAGTTTATTTTACAAAAAAATAAAAAATAAAAACTAAATATGTACATTTCAAAAAATATCAATTATACTATCGACTAGGAAGTAATTGTCCTATTGACTATTGAGTACCTTCGAAATATGTTATTGATTTTAGAATTTATTACATTTTATTAGCATAAGGTCGTAAACGGAAGGTTAAAATAGCTTCTTTCTACACCGTTCATATGTCCGAAAGTCCATGGCATGCGTTCTCCCTACCGATGCTGCCATTTCTAATTTGTAAGTTCTAACCCATTACCTGATGGATACAACATTCATGGTATGCGTTCTCCTCTCTATTTGTCCATAAACCCTAAGCTCGTTTTTTTTTTAATAGTTTTACAGAGGTTGCTCTTTAATTTCATCTCTATCCAATAATCATTATACATACGGATGCAATTGTCACTGTTATTTGGATTATGAATTGAATCTGGATTAAGTTTTAGGAATCCTTTCTATCATCTTGTGCAAAAAAATTATAGTTACGTCGAACCCTAATTTAACGCAAATATTTTCCATGTGCAGGTTTCTCAATCACCTGAAAGCAGTCGGCAATTGTTAAGAACGCCATTATCGAGTCCAGATTCCAATATGTCAGAAACTGAGTTACCAAATCCATATTTGCCTGATGAGATTGTAAAAGAAATCCTTTCTCGAATCCCTGTAAAATCCTTATTGCAATTCAGATGCGTATCAAAGCATTGGAAGGAGCTAATTACAGGTACTCATTTCATCAAATCACATCTTAAAAATGCCCTATCTTCATCAACCCAACATCGAATCCTTCTTCCAACTTCCCCTCTTATGTCTTTAAACTATAATAACATCAACGAATCACTACAACTTGATTCCCCATTTCCAAACCCTAAAACTTCAATCAAGATCCTGGGTTCCTGCAATGGATTAGTATGTTTAATCGATGGCACACGTGACATAATCATCTACAACCCATCAACCAGAAGACATTTCAAGCCATTTCAATCACCTCAACAAGCTCTTCATTGCTCAAACCGGATCGAATTCGTGTATGGATTTGGGTGTGGATCAAAAAACCCTAATGACATGAAAGTTATAAGATTTCCCCGATTTGCTCGTGACTCTGGATACAATAAATTTAAGGTACGCGATAAACATTCAAGTTCTTGGAGAACTGGATCAGTGTCATCTAGGTATGATTTCATCGATACAGTTGGTACTTTTTTAAACGGTGTTCTTCACTGGTTAGCTTATGGTAGTGGCAATGGTGATGATTATAGATTAGTAGCTTCATTCGACTTATCTGAAGAGACATTTTTAGAAATTTCTTTGCCACCTCAAGATTCAAGTCTTCCGTGTTATGTTTTGGGTGTTTTACAAGGATGTCTTTGTGCGATTTGTGATGATATTGGGTATACAGATGTTGAGATATGGTTGATGAAGGAATATGGGGTGGTCAACTCTTGGTCAAAATTGGTTAAAATTCCACTTAATATGGGGATTCAGAACATTTCTTATATGATGCCTTTGGGGTCTTTAAATGAAGATGAAATTGTTTTGGAGATTGATTTGCAATCGTTTGTGATTTATGATGTGAAGAAGAAGGTTTTTAGGTGTCCGATGAGTGGTCATGATTTGAAATTGTTTGGGGATGCTATGGTGTATGTGGAAAGTATGCTTTCACCTCAAGTGTTGTGTGTTTTGTATTGATGTAATGTTGATTTGATGAAGAAAAGATTATGGAATTTTTAATGCTTGTTTTTCATTTTCTTTTATATCTTTAATAAATATATATTTATTATTAATAAATATTTTAAAAATATACTTTGTTGATGCATTTGAAACTGCTTTTGATAAAATATTTGAATAGGTACGAATATATAATTGACTAATATTACGTTAATTATCATATTTATGTAAACATTTTAATAAATATATATTGAGTAATACATAATTAAAAGATACACTTTGTTGATGTATCCAGAGCTACTTTTGAAAAATTATTTGAACCATTTGTAATTAATTGACTAATATATATTATGTAAATTATCATATTCATGTAAATATTTTAATAAATATACATTATTAATAAATAATTAAAAAATATACACTTAGTTGATGTATTTGGAGCCACTTTTGAAAATTTATTTGAACCGGTAAGAATTGTAACTATAAAAACCAACGTGACATAATTGACTAATATATATGATGTTAATTATCATATTTATATAAATATTTTAATAATATTATTAATTAGCTAATGAATAATTTAAAAATACACTTTGTTAATGCATTTGAAGCTGTTTTTAAAAATTATTTGTAATTAAAAAACCAACATGATATAATTGACTAATATGTATTATGTAAATTAACATAATTAAGTAAATATTTTAAATATATACTAACTAATAAATAATTTAGAACAAAATATAAACTTATTCATGCATCTGGAGCAACTTTTGAAAAATTATTTGAATCGGTACGAGTTGTAATTACAGAAACCAATATGACATAACTGTGATATATATTATATCATATTTAGGTAAATGTTTTAATAAGTATATATTAAATATTTACTACTACACAACTAAAAAAATATACAATTTTGCATTGATACGAGTTATAGTTACAAAAACCAACGTGAACGATTTAATGGAAAGAGGGGTAGACATGCTTAGTGTCGTGAGATGGCACGGATAATTACTCAATCTTTTCATCCTAGAAGTGTAAAAATTTATAAATCCATCACAAATTCATTTGATATCCGTCACAAATCCATCAGAAATCCTTCACAAATCCGTTGAAATTCATCACAACGTAAGATAAATGTAAATTCAATGTAAATCCGTAGGTAAACCCTTTAGTGGCGGATTTAGTGACAAAAACTACCATTGAAAATGAATTTTTCTAGTAGTGCAATTCCAAAAATTTTGTGCAGCCTCGTATTTTTCTTTCTCCACCATCGAATGCAACCCAAAATGGTATATGAATGGAACCCGAAGTGGTACATGAAAACATTGAAAATTTGATTAGAAAAAACTACACCAACAATATGTAAAAGTTGACCAAATAAAAGCTTTCTTATGCCTTTTTGCACAATTTTTCTCAGACAATTTTTAGAATCATAAAGATTAGTAAGAACCGAGTGTGAGCATCCAAATCGGGACCAACACCGAACCTTAGGACATATATAGGTTTTTAGAGGCGGCTCAATCAGTTTGGGGGCTCTAAGCGAACCAAAAATTTGGGTCCCCTTAGTCTTTACTATAGTTGTATTTTCTTTTTTCCTTTTTAAAGCCTAATTCATATTTTCTCTTAGACATGATTATTAATTATTTGATTGATAATAACAATGAACAATCACTAATACAACTACAAATGAACAAACAACAATCTTGAAGTAATGCATTATGGATTAACAGAAATATTTACTGCCTTGAGAATAGAAGATAATGGAAAACTTAAAACTGGAAAACTCAAATTCATTCCAACTATGATTCTATCTTATGTAATAAAAACAAATATAAAAGTGAAATTTGACTTTTTCTATTTAAACTTGTAGTGTTTTAATCTAAAAGGAGAACTTATCTATAATTTTTAAGGGAACTCAAACTTGCAGGATTATTTTAACTCAAATCTATACACAACTCAATACATAAATCAATAAACAAATCACATATAAATCAATCAATAACCAACATTTCATAGCTTCAGGTTACATACTCTGCCTAGGTGTGATGTAAAAACAGAGGAACTCAAGTTGCATGATATTATAATTAAAAAGGGGAAACATAAAAATCCAGCATCAAGCCAACAACGCAAAAACTGAGTGGAAACACTAACGTAGAAAACAAAAATCACACAGAAACAAAGAAATTGAGCATTAATCAATGAACAAACAACAATGGAAAGTCGGATAATGACAAAAATTAACCCTAATCGGCTATTAACCTTAATAGATAATTAGATAATTGAAAATTCAATTGAAAACACTGATTACACATACCTTGAATAAGTTCAATGAATCATCATAGATTTTTCAACAACGGAGAAACAAAGAAATTCTTCAGAAAAAACGAGAATGGAGAAGGAAAAAGAACAAAGAATGTATGTTACCAATTAATAGTCCATGAAGCTTTTTACTGTCCAGGAATCGAGATTGGAGAAGCCTAAATCAATAATCAGTCAATCAACAACATTGATAATGGAGAAGAAAGGAATAAGAATAAAAGTAGAAAGTCGCTTTCGATTTTTTAGAAGGCGTACGTATCAGCAATCAGCAGCGAATGTAGTTGGAGAACAGAAGCATCAACATTAAGCTATTTAGGTTAAGTGGGGCCTTTTTAAAAATGGGGTCCTAAGCCCTAACTTAACTCATGAACACATAGAGCCGGCCTTATAGTTTTATGTTGTCAGGCCGATTATCGGTTCTTAGTTTTACACATTATCGATTCGCCTATTTCGGTTTTGGACTGAATTTTAAGAGACAAAATTTACTAAATCTTTTTAGTTTTTATGTGATAATATGTAATTTATGAATTTGTTTAAATGTCATAATTCACTCGGATTCAACATATAATTTAATGTTTGTATTTCATTTTAATTTATAATTTCATTTTTTTTCTTAATACATATTCATTATTCATTAACTTACAATCCCAAAAAGATAGGGTATCAAAAATCCTCCAAAGATAGGGTATCAAAACTGAAAAATGAAACTTTGTTTAGAGAATTACTTTTGTAAGTTTTTTTATATATGCAATTATGCCATTTTCTTAACTAAACATCATCTTATAATAGCATGATCGACATAAGAACATTATATCAAGTAAATTGTCTTTCTTTAAAAAACCCGTTAAACATATTCAAGTCGACAACTCATATAAACCATCTAAACTTGTAAATATCCAAACACTCACGCCCTAGTCATAACCAACATTACTACAAATATTTTTTTGTGAAAAAAAAGACCAAAGAATTAATCCAAATCTATTTTTTATTTTATCTTTTTAGCATCACTTGAAATGCAGTACTACCATACAAGTTCTCCTTCTCTACACATCATCACTCCACTCCACAATATCACGACTTAAAATTCCAGCCTTTCAATTTAGTAACAACATCATCGATCATTAACGTTAATTACTCACCACAAGTTTCTTAGGAGTGAACGACAATCGACCCAAATAATCTTCTTCAGACATAGAAACAACCACCTTATGACAAGCCAAAGCCGACGCTACCACAAGTGTCACAAAACTCACCCAACACAACCGAAGCATTAACAGCGGATCTTTTCTCCCAGATTCTAGAACCTTCCGGACAATCACTCTCAGCCGTCGATTTCCCACTAGGGTCTTGTAATCGACAGCTGGCATTGAAGATGACGATGATGATCTGTAAATTGGATTACACGTGGCTGACATCGGCATGAATGTTTTAGCAAAAGCTGTTGTGCATATTGAGTGGTATAACACGTCAGCTATGATTTTACAGAGTTGATATCTGAAAGGTTTTGCTTCCTTGGAAACTGTATCCCGGATTAATGATGCTCCATCCTGTTACAGATTTATAAAAATCATGAAAAGGGTATTTATGTCTTTTTGCATGATAAATACTTACAGCTGTCATGACAAGTCGTCGCACCACAACACCATCTTTTGAGAGTAAAAGTTTAAGGACTAAATTTACTGTATCTGATTCTGAAGAAGAAGAAGTCCCACTTTTTAATAATCCTTTGCTGAAAAAAAATATTACAGCTTTTTTTAAAATCTAAATAAGTTAGAAAAGAAGAATATTCCTTTTGGTGTTATATTTATATACCTTGTTGCCCCGATTTTCAAGAAAAAAGCAACCTTCTTCCATTGAAGTTGTTTTCTTTTGTTCATCACAACCTAAAATAAAAAAGTAACAATTAATAGAAAATACAAAAATACAAAAAATGATTTTATAAAGTTTAGGAAACGATTAAAATGTGAAAAATACCGAGTGAAGAATCTTCCTTGTTTCAAATGAGTTATCTGTTAGAAGCTTACGAACAACATACGGATATGAACTTTCAAATGTCTTGAAATTTGGATCTCCAGCCATTGCTAATCCTACACATTAATTAAAAAAATTAAAAAATAATAATAATTTAAGAAATTAAAAATATTTTTATATGTACCTTCAAAGGAAGCAATAGAACGTAGGAGAAGAGTAAAATAAGGTGGCATGCGAAGATGATATTTCACAGCTATAGCAAACACTTTACCAAGCACCTAATACAACAAGGACCAAAATTGCAAAATCAGATAAACTCAGGGACCAAATATGTAATTATCCTCACCTTACTAAATCTGATATCAGGGATTCCATCCTTGAATTCCATCTCCCCCATCGCATATTCCAGATCCTAAATAATTTAACCAAAGTTACAAAAACAGGATTTTTTTTTTTATTTTTTTATTTTTTATTTTTCTAAATCCAAAAATAAAACATTCTTTTTTTTTTTTAATTATATAATTAATTACCATGGTAATTCGTGAAACATTGGTTCCCGGCCTTACGATGTCCATGTCAGCAAGGGACCCCACAAGGGATGCCCAGTCAGCATTTACTATGTGAATAATCGCTCCAAGCATTGCAAACTTATGCTTCTTTTCCATTCGACAGATTAATCCAAAATCAAGAAACCTAAGAAGAAATCATCAAAAAATATAAATATAAAACTATAAAGATTAATTTTTCTATTTTTTAACAAAATGACAAAAGTACCCTATTTGTCCAGATGGTAAATAGAGCATATTTCCAGGGTGTGGATCCGCATGTAATAATCCAGTTTCAAGGAGTTGAACTAAACATGCTTCAACTCCTTTGTTAACCTAAAGATTATAATTATAATAAAATATAAAGATAATCTTTATAAGGTAAAAAAAGAAACCAATTTAAATTTTTAATACATAATTAATTACATATTACATACCAGATCAAAAAGATGTCTTTTAGCATCAATCCTCTGTTTCTCTGAATATTGCAATTCTTGTTCAAAATTGGTGTTACACATTGATAATAATTCTTTTGGATTTTCACCACTCATCCACTCCATAGTCAACACCCTCTTTTTAGTCAAATGGTCAAACACTTTTGGAACACGAATATACGAAAATGGTGAATGAGCTTCCTGCATATAAATAGTAATTATTCAAATTGGTAAAAAGATTAATAAAGAAGAAGAAAAATTACCATAAATTCTTTAGCATTTGCAGCTTCTAAAGTGTAATCCAATTCCCCTACTAATCCTTTTCCTAACTCATCAGCATAAAGGCGTAAATCACTTTTCCTTTTAGTCACTTGTTGCAAAATATCCAACTATAGAAGTGAAAAAAAAAGTTATTTTTAATTTTTTAATAAATGTAAATTGAAAAAGTGAAAAATGATAAGAAAACGAACCCCAACTCTCATAATATAAACATCACGAAACACAACATGTTTCAAATTAGGGCGTTGTATTTTCACAGCAACATCAACTCCATCTACTGTAGTTGCTCTGTAGACCTTAAAAAGATATGAAGGAATATAAATAAATAAATAAATAAGATTTAATGTTTTTTTTTATGTTATTTATTACTTATTAGTGAAAAGAACATATACTTGACCAAATGATGCTGCAGCTATTGCTTCCTCAGAGATGTAACTGAAGAAGGTGTCCACAGGGGATCCGAGCTCTTCCTCTATGATTTGCATGGCTAAAGTTCGGGGAAATGGAGGGATTTGATCATGGAGCTCACTTAAAGCCTAAAAATACCAAATTAAAGTGAAATTTGGGATTATTTAAACATTGAAAACCTTAAAAAAACACAAAAATTGAACCTTTGTTATTTGAAAGCCAATGATATCTGGCCTTGTGGAAAGGGATTGACCAACTGCATCAGCAACCAAAAGCATGTCACAATCCAAGAGTCTAACCAAAACAAGATTAAGAAAAATCAGCAAAAAAGATTAATTTTGTCACTGAATTCATATGTATATACCTTTGATAAAAGTGGGACCTAAGTTTAACATTGTTTCTTTTAACACCATTCCGAATTTGTATTGTGAATTGTATTCTTCGGTTTCAGAGTCTGTATTTGACGTTTTTGACCTTATAATTCCTGATATCCTGATTCTGATTGCAGCTGAAGCAAAGGAGCTAAAAACCTTTCAAAACAGAATAAGTGAACTATGAGAATATGTCAGAATGATGTGAGATAAGGTGATAAGGGTAAGAATGTACTTCAATAAGTCGAAGGGCTACTATATGAGGTCTGCATTTGAAATAGGTATCAGCTTCTTGTGCATTGTAAGCTTCTGGAAGTGGTTTTGTCCACATTTTAGAGAGATGGTAATAATAGATTATGTATGTTTCCATGGCTTTAAGGTCAGCCATGATGAGATCTGTGGTAGAGAGTTCTGTAAAGCAGATGGATTGATGTTAACATAAGTGGCAGAAAAGGTGGAAATGGAAATAATCTGAAGAAATAGCTGGAGCAATTCTTCAAATTGTAATTACAAGTAAATTATGCCAAAAATAGAGATTAGGGAGAAAGTGAGAAAAAGCAAAACCTGGATAATAAGGCTGAGGCCAAGAAGGAGACTGAAATTCACCAGAATAGTGGGGATCTTCGAGGTTCCGTAGCCAAACAAACTCATCTACCTTTTTCGAAATCTCCGGTAAACCAAGAGCTTCGCTCGTCCAATTGATCCCTGCACCGATATTCTTCTTGAGAAAATCGACATCTTTCTTTACAACTTGTACGAAATGCCCAAAGTTTCCAGCAACAGCACGACAATTGTTGTGGGGGCGTTTAATCGTTCTTCTTGAGGTGGATTGAGCTGTACAGCAGAGTACGGAAGCCGGAATAGACGATGCAGCGGCGGAGGTGGCTGCGGCGCTGAGCATTGGAGGCTAACAGGGCGAAACTTCCGGTGAATTTGGGTGGAGAGTTGATGGGGGAATCGGGAACGAAGGGTGGGAAAAGGGTAGCGTATCCTAATTTTTCCGGCATGTAGTGACAAAAGTAGAAACGGGTTTTCTCCTGGCGCCACGAAGTGCGTGATGCTTTTAGTTTTGTGATCGGAGAAAACCTTATAGAACGGTTATTGTTATAAATTAAACCTAAGTTAACGAGTTTTTATTAAATTCAATAAAGGAAACGAAAATATTTACAAAAAGAAAACGAGGGGAAGGTAAATAAAATTTTATCAGGAGAATTTGGTATATGTACTTGTTAAAGGTAGCTTCAGCTTAATATTTAAATATTATATTTTCACTTCTTAATGATAATTTATTTTTTATATACTTAAATCATTATAATTAAAAAAATATTAAAAGGACAATAATGGTACTTCTAATTTGCAATACATCTAAATCCCATAAAATCTAACGTTGATTTACTTTTGCAACCTCCTATCGACTTACGATCACAACCTCTTGTTCCCTTGTTGTCGCGGTTTCATTCCTGCAATCACACGATCACGCATCTGGTAATCGGCTACTTCCCATATTCATATTTTCTTTTCCTCCATTTTTGTTTCTGTTGTTGATCGATTTGTGTATGGTGAATGTGCTGAAAATAACACGTGAATGTGTTGATACTTATCTAATGTAATTGATCATTGTTAGGTGCATTTTGTGCACCTTTTTGCACAACTTTTAGTCCATTTTATGCCTGTATTTAGCTTAGTTTTAATTCATTATTCTTGCATTATTATCATATTCATGTTAGTCTCTAGAACAACCTTATTTGCACACTTTCATGTCTCTTTTAGGTAAACCGGAGGGTGGAGTGTGCTTTTGGAGGTGCCAAGGAGCATTGATGAAGATTGCGGGATGATCGGGCGTAAAATGGAAGAATTGAGAAAATCAAGTTTGGATTCGGAGTCAGAGGGCTACACGAGGCGTGTTGGGTTTGGCCAAGAAATCCAACACGGGGCGTGTTTGACCATTCCAGGCATTTTGACTTCACTGAACACGACCCGTGTTCATTTAGCCTATTTGGACACGGGGCGTGTTGGTCGAGATGAACACTTTTGAGCATCATACTTTGGAGCTGGAATCGAGGATTGATGGCTATATTTTCAGTCAACACGACCCGTGTTGATTTACTCTATTTTAACACGGGCCGTGTTCGACTTAAAAACTGCCTTTTGGCAGTTTTTTCCCCTTTTCATATGTCGTGAATTGGTTCATTTTGGGGCACATCAGAACAGACCATAGCACTTTTGGAAAGGAGAATTCGAAGGTTTTGGCAAGGATTTGTCCATGAATCATTTGGAAACATTTTAATTTCTTCTTTGTAAGCACTTTAGTACTTAATTTCTTCTTTAAGCTTAATGCAATCTTTTAATCTAATTCTAAGAGCTTGTTTAGATTAGGTTAGTAAGGTTAGAATTAATCAAAGAGCTTGTTTTGATTGATTAATGTGGTGAATGGAAAGTGTTAGAGCTTGTTAACACTTTCAAGTACCAACTTAGATAGAATGAAACAAATGTCTTGTCATTTTTGAGTCACATTGCTAAGTTGTCATACATGAAGTTGGAGTCCTTACAAAATCTGAATTTAATTCACTTATTTAGCTGATTACGTGTGTTTTTAATTTGGTTGTTTAGTCATTGCATTCTAACCCCCCCCCCCCCTCTTTACTATTGGTGGCCATAGTACCTTGCGCAAAGAGGTATAGACTAATTATCCCGTGTCTTTGTGGATCGACTCTGCTTACCTTGTATTACATTTTTAGTGCAAAGCAGCAGTGTTTTTGGAGTCATTTGTACCCCTTTATTTGTTGGGTTTGACACGCCTAACAAATTGGCGCTGTTGTCGGGGAGACGGTGTTACTAATTGTTTTATGCCAAGATCTTTTCGTACAGGTAAACCATTGCCAATTAACTCGGAGATAGAAAGGACTGTAAAGAAGTTAAGGAAGCAAGCCAAGCTTCGTAAGAGGCAACCAGTTTCCGGTACTTCTTCATCATCTACTCCCCCAGTCATCAACATTTGGGAGGACATACCCCTCTCAAGTGTATCAGCCTCAGAAACAGAAATCCTATCACTCTCACCACAACCATCCTCACCCATAAATACCACTCCACCCTCTTCACCTGTTCATAATATCCTAAACACTTCATCTACAGAAACATCACCCACTTCTCAAGCCATGGCAGATAACCCTGGAGGGAATCAAGGTCCTCCAAATCCACCACCCGAACAAATTCTCCGTCAATTGTCAAGACAAAAGGTTACTTAACAACCTCTTTGCATCACATACCCAACCGCTACCAACTTGGAACTAAAATCCGGGCTCATTCACTTACTCCCAGCATTTAGGGGCCTGGAAAATGAAGATCCTCACAAGTTCCTCACAGAGTTCCATGTAGTATGTGTGGGTATGAAACCACACAATGTTGCGGAGGATCAGATCAAGCTTAGGGCATTTCCCTTTGCAATGCAAGATGCAACCAAAGACTGGCTCTATGACCTCCCACCGGGGATGGTGACTACTTGGGTAGACCTTGCGAGGTTCTTGGATAAGTACTTTCCCGAAATGAAAGCTTCAGCCCTACGGAGGGAAATTATCGAAATCAAGCAACACAAAAGAGAAGCTTTTCATGCATATTGGGAAAGATTTAAGAAACTTTGTGCTCTGGTCCTAACTCTGTGGACATTTCGGTCCTAACTTTGTAAACTCTAATATACACACAACATAAATTACATAGGAATAATGTTGTGCAACACATTACACAAATAGCATGCAAGATACTCAATCACATAGTTCTAATTACCACTCCAGTTAAAGTATAGTGAGAAGACTCACCTCGGATAACTCGGTAAACCTCGAACTTTGAAACCCTGTACTAGCCTCCGCCTAATCACATAATAACTACTCTAATTAATACAAATTCTAAAGGCTAGGCTAACCCCTCTCTCTAAGTCCTATAGGAAGGGTAAAAGGCCATTCTACCCCTCTAATGGCTCATAAGTCCAAACATTGACTAAATCCTAAAAGTCAACAAAGTCAGCGGTCAAAATTTAACCAGACTCGTCGAGTGCACTCAGGTGAATCAAAGAGTCCGCACTAGTCCTCTGGATCCTTCCAATCCCCACTTGGCAAAATGAGTCCCCTCTCCACTCGCCGGGTTACTCAGCAACGAATCGCGGGGCAACCCCGACTCGACTCATCAAGTCCACTTATGAACTCGGCAAGCTGCTCCCATGATAACACTCAAATGACCTTTTGAGGTCAGATCTACTTCTGGCTTCCCCATAGCCAATAACCACGTAAAGGTCGAATCATGGTACACATGCAAGGCACTCTAGGCTTATTTTGGTGAAATCCCTTCTAACACGGCAACCTATGTCCCTTTCCTCCATAGAACCACAAAAAGCAAGGTGATTCAAGCTCCTTGGACCTCAAAAGGTTCAGATCCAGAGTTTATTACTCAATGGGACACTAAATCTCAACCACACAAGCCATAAAAGATATAGAAAACCCTAAATTCAATGCTCTTAAGCAAAAACAGAGGAATAAGGTCGAATAGCTACCTCAAAATGAAGATCCAAGCTGAAAACCTCCTGAGATGAAGTCCTCTTGCCCCCTTCTTGCTGGAAACCCTTCCTATTTGGCTAAATCACACCAAAAATGAACAAAGAAGCTCAAACTCTCTCACAACTCGCTCAAAATCGCTAGGGTACCTCTCTCTGGACTGGTAGCCGCAAATAGAGGCTATAAAGTCCTTTAAATAGGGCTCAGGCCCGGCGATTTAGGGCTTCGGTCGTCAGCACTGACTCATCGAGTCCACTCTTACCGACTCGTCGAGTCCCCTCATTTATCAGTCAACAATACGCGATCCTACTCGATGAGTCTAGGCGTCAACTCGTCGAGTCCCTCTCTTAACTCCAAAAATAATGATAAAAATATAATACCTGGAAGTCTGGATGTTACAATTCTCCCCCACTAGAATCATACTTCGCCCTCAGAGTCTTACTCCGCAAACAACTCTGGATGCTGCTCACGCATCTCCAACTCCGGCTCCTAAGTCAACTCGGACCCTCTCCAATGCTGCCATTGAACCTGCACCAGGGGCACCTCCTTGTTCCTCAGAACCTTGATCCTATGATCCACATCCGCAACTGGCCTCTCAACATAATTCAGGCTGGCATCCACTGAATATCCTCTAATGGTACTATTGCCAACTCATCGTCTATACACTTCCTCAACTGAGATACGTGGAAGGTATCATGGATCTGGCTTAATTCCGCAAGTAGCTCTAGACGGTATGCTACCTTGCCCACCCTCACATTCACCCTGAATGGGCCGATGTACCGGGGCCCCAACTTGCCCCTCTTCCTGAATCGGATCACTCCCTTCCAAGGAGATACCTTCAGGAGTATGAAGTCTCCCACCTGGAACTCAAGCTCGGACCGTTGCCTATCCGCATAACTTTTCTGGCGACTCTGAGCTGTCAGCAGCCTCTGCTTGACCTGCTGTATCTACTCTGTCGTCTGAATCATTAACTCAGTGTTGCCCATCACCCGCTGCCCAACCTCTCCTCAACATATGGGAGTTCGATACCTTCTCCCATACAACAACTCAAAGGGAGGCATGGTGATACTCGAATGGTGGTTGTTATATAAAAACTCAGCCAATGGCAAATACGTGTCCCAACTTCCTCCGAAGTCCATCACACACACTCACAGCATGTCTTCGAGTTTCTGAATCGTCTGCTCACTCTGACCATCCGTCTGTGGGTGGTATGCGGTACTAAAATGCAGTCTCGTACCCAACTCCTGATGGAATTTCTTCTAGAATCTGGAAGTGAAACGTACATCTCGATCTGACACGATCGAGATTGGCACTCCATGCCGCGATACCACCTCTCTTACATATATCTCTGCTAGCCTCTCAGCAGAAGATCTCTCATTGATAGCAAGAAAGTGAGCGCTCTTCGTCAGCCGGTCAACAATCACCCAAATTGCATCGATACCCCTCACAGTCCTCGGCAATTTGGTGATAAAATCCATGCAAATCTGTTCCCACTCCCACTCGGGAAC